TATGGCACCATTATGTATCACGGAATTACTTAGTTATCGTACATGTTCACGTACGCTACGCTCTACTGATCAAAAATTTCTGGCAGTTCTGAAGTCAAGACTTAAAACATACGGAGACAGGGCCTTTTCCGTTGCTGCACCTAAACTCTGGAATGAGCTGCCATTAGATCTTAGAAGTTTAGATACAATTAATTTATTCAAGAAACACTTAAAGACCGATCTTTTTAAAAAAGCATATAATGTTTAACTTTTTGATAATTTGGAATAGGATTTACTGTGATATTTTTATAAATAAGTCTGCAAATAGGTTTTTAATTTATTCATATTTTATTACCAGTGGGATCTTTTTAATTATTTTAATATTATGAATTGTAAAGCGCTTTGGTCAATTAGTGGAGTTAGCGCTATATAAATTATGTTAAATTAAATTAAATTAAATTGTTGTCTTAATCAAGAGGTGTGTTTAGCCAAAATATTTTCAAGTTTGCTAATACTTTACTGATGCTTCAGTGATATTGCCAATGATATTTGACTGTCACCTTTTATAATTATAGCTATGTCAATATTTGAATTTGCAGAACTTCCTATCTTTCGAAATGGACACTTTTAAAATAACTGACTCCTACGGAAATTGTACAGGTTTGCCTCCTGGAAAACCTCAATGTTCCGCAAGTGGGCAAAGTTGTTATTTAGTAATGTTGAGTTTTTATGGGAAGCAAAAACTGGGGCTAGTCATTAAGAGTTTTGTTATACCTCGCAACTCAAAAAATGAGAGAGAGAATATGTATTCAGTATTACTGAAATTGTCTGTGAAATTAGTTTTTCGACATAGGCTGTCACACAAATGTGGGAAGGTTTCAAGTGCTGGACGACCTTATCATTATTGTTCTGCTAGAGAGTTAGAGAGATTTGTTTACACTTACAAAGTTATATTAAGGAGTTTTGACCCATAGCACATAACATAATGTTCTTGAGTCACATCACATTTTATTTGGGAGGTATGAAAAATTGTAACATTCATACTTGATGCAATGCAGGCTAATATGCATGTTCCAGATCTAATGTACACTTTATGTGACATAGGCAGCTTATAATGCAATTTCTTTTTATTATTTGTAGTTATGAAAGGGGAGGATAAAGATGTAAGAAACAAGGTCACCAGTTATTATGTCCGCAAAGAAGGAGCAGTACAACTGAACATGTATGGAGTTGTGGATTTGATCCACCCTCTCAAACTCCTGTTGTCCCCTCTATCCACTCTCTTCTTTTCTGAATTTTTCTGCCCCCCATTAAGTGCTGTTACAACCGTATGGAGCAAAATCACCTGCAAATTAAAATTACACAAACACATAATTATTTCTTTGCTCTTTTGAATTAATTATCCATTTTTCACTCTTTTCTTAAGCTTGGACAAATATGCATCACAGATGTCCTATATACCTTGACAGTATGGTTAAACCCCAAAACTATCAAGTGTGGTCATGTTTTTTGCCCAGATTGTTTAAGTCAAGCTTTGAGGGTATTAAATGTTTGCCCCATTTGTAGAGAGCCATAACGTGTGGTGACAGGGAATCAACCACCAGCGCAAATCACTTGGTCCACTCTGCATTCCAGTCTCCCAGTTATTCTGGTATGATGTATATCACCCTTGAATTCCAACAAACTTGCTGTGTGGTAATTGAAAAAAGAAAAAGAACTTGATTTTCGATTTAATTCAAACTTTGACATTTCAATGTTTTGTAGAAGAATCATCAAAGATGAGCCATCAATTCTCATTTGAAGAAAATGTTATACTTACTAAGTGGAAAATTGACATCATTAAGTGAAACAGAAATTGAGAAATTTTGTTTCCAGAAGTTCCAATTTTCGATGAAATAAGTGTTGTCTGAAGGTAACTGTTTTTTTTTCTCTGAGTATAATTGTGTCTCTAAGATGCAGAGTCCTCAGAAAATAACACTTTTGTAGTTACCGTAGTTCATTATTTGTGAAACTTGGGAAGAAGTGTTCCTCTGAGGCGTTAAGACTACCTGCTGTTCTGGAAAATACCTCGAGTTGGTCTCTTTTTTTTCCTCCCATAAGGTGTGGTACGATCGGCATTCAGTATTTATTTCAATCAAGACTTCAAGGTCCAGAGCACCCAAACCCTGGTCAGCAGTACAATGGTATGCATCATACTGCGTATTTGCCTGATAATCGCGAAGATAGAGAAGTCTTGCAGCAGCTACACAGAGCTTTTTAACGCACGACTGGTTTTTACGATGGCCTGGCTTGGCAACTGCGCACAACAATTCTTGGAAATTTGTCATACTGTAAAAATTTATCCAGTTAAAATTTCAGCTTGAGTTCTTCTACTTCCCTGCAAGGTCATTTTACAGGAACAGTCTTTCTTGTTAGGGGAGGAAGGCCGGGGGATTTTGGGGGAGTCGCATGGTTTTCAAGGAGAGCAGTGGGGATCAGTCGTGGCCAACAGAATATAAAAGGGTGACTTAAGAAAAGAGGCTGCCAATTAAATGCCAGTGAGGAAGGGGGGGGGGGGGGAAATTATAAAAAGGGACACAACCAAATTGTTCCAATCCCCCTCCCCCGCGATGAAAAATGACCGGTCCCCTGAGGGATTGTTGTTATTCCAATTCTTTGAAATTGATGTTTAAGATAATTTTTTCGGCGACAAATGTTTTACGAGAGATACGAACTTTGCGTTAATTTCATATCGTTAAAGTATTTTTTCGCGCACCAAGTTTTTTTGATATTAATGTCATGGTTGGTTATTTACACTACTGGAAGAAGATTAGGTTACCTGGCGTGTGAATTGTTTGACCTGCGCTTACCAAGTTTTTTCGATATTAATGTCCTGGTTGGTTATTTACACTACTGGAAGAAGATTAGGTTACCTGGCGTGTGAATTGTTTGACCTGCGCTTACCAAGTTTTTTCGATATTAATGTCCTGGTTGGTTATTTACACTACTGGAAGAAGATTAGGTTACCTGGCGTGTGAATTGTTTGACCTGCGCTTACCAAGTTAAAAAAAAACGGGATTTTACGTCACTGCCGACGAGAGACAACGCAAAACGAAAGACAACTATAACGTCCTTCATTCCAAGTGAAAATTTTATTATTTGACGAGAGACTGGAGTCTAACAGAGGACAAGCTGTGCAGCTTTATAAAGTTACCTGTTAACCCAATTCGTTACACATGTGGCCATGGTACATTATCTTCAGCTTTACAGTTGTATTCCTCCCCGTCATTATATTTCAACTAAATGCGTGGACGTTCATGTACACCTCATTACAAGACCGTTTTCATAGAAAAAGGCAACGAAAAGATTCACAGGGAATTAGTTGTGCATTTTAAAGCTGATTTAGGACGTTGTAAGACCTGGATCAGTGCAACTTCGTTCGAAGAATCAACCAAATACAATCGTTAAGGCCTCACTTGAAAGCTTAAAAACATATATTCTAAGGATTTCGTACAATTCAATCCTTAAAGAATTAAACAGCTGGGTATCAACACATTTTCTTTGCGAATGTGTGCCATAACTTGTTTTCAAACTCTGTCACTTATCAGTGACATTATTTCAGTTATTGTAATAATGTGCACATGAACATTATAAAGAGCGATTCATGATGTCACCTGTATCGAACCCACCCACTGTTCCCATCTCTTTAACCCCGCCATTTTGTCGCTGATGCTTTCCGCGTGCGAAACAAAGAACAAAAACAAGCAAGCGAACAACCAAACAAATGAGCAAAGCTACTAACATTAATAACAGCAGGACAAGAGTCCCTAATCGCAGGTTACATGAGAATAATTTCTCTTGATGAGATGATATAGCTAAAATAGAAAGCTATTAAAACTTCCATCACTTAAAAAAAAAAAATACATTTTACGCTACACTTTTTTTTTTTACTATATCTGTTTACTCGCTTCCTGTTTTTTCGTATTTCGTACAAGGAAAGAATAACTGAGGTCAGGGCAAAATGAAGTGTTAAAAACGCAGTCTCACAGTCTTTCGCAACAGTTTTTTTTTTTGACTGCCAAATACCTGTTGGTTTTTTCTCATTCTTTTTTCAATCATCTTTTTCGACTGCGAGCTTGGCTTAACCCTTTAACTCCCAAGATCTCATAAGTAATTCTCTTTAGTTCTTCCATACAGTTCTTGTGATGTTAGTTTGGAGAATTTAGTATTGGATCAACCTATAATTCCCTAACTGATATTTTTCTATATTCTCATCACTTGTCTGCTTGATATTGTATTGATATTGTAAGGAGAAATTCTGACTTGGTCACTCACGGGAGTTAAAGGGTTAAACTACCAAAAGCCCTGCCTCGCCCCTTCCCCTCTCCTCAATCATAACGTTGCTGAACGACACCTGCGGTGGATAGAGCTATCTCAGGAGGAACGATTTTGATGTTTCTTCACGGAGCCGTACAAACTCATATTGACGGGATGTTCAAGCTTAATTCAGGTGGCCAATATTTAGCAGCAGCTATTATCCCACAAGATTATCATTCATCTGTGATTCACCATACATCTAGATAATTTTGCCGGGTGTTTAGGAAAGTTCAAAACAAATATGGCTCTTTTGAATAAGTAGTCCTATTATAGTAAGCTAAACAAGTGTCGCTGCACGATTTCTTCATCCGTGCGCGATCTATGATGCGCAAAAATTCAAATCTAAATTAAGTCGGCTCACTATAACAACCAATAACAACCAAACAAAAGAACAATAGAACGAAAAAAAATAAGAAAAACAAAGTTCACACAAATATTTTCGTTATCCGTGCACGATCTATAATATATCGTAATTTCCGATACGCGGAAAAAAATTAAAGTGTATTACAACAAAAATGAATGATGATGATAATAATAATGATAATAATAATAAAAACAAACAAAAAACAAAAGGACGAAATGAGGAGAAAAAAATGTATTTATGTTTTTTCCTTGGCAAATATATTGGTAATGTATTCATATTTAAAATTTTCATTGTTATCGACATATGTAAAAAAATATAGAATTATAGATTCCATTGTAAATAGATTTTAGCACTTGAAATAAAGATAATACTCAATGTTTAGAGTACAATGATAAAATAAAAAAATAATAGTAATGATAACAAAAACAAACAAATAACAAAAGAACGAAAAAAGGAAAAACAAATAAAACAAAACAAGCTTTAAAATGGGGAGACTAACGACATCTACCCATTGAAATGTCGGCCAAATATCTTAGTGTTGTTGTTTCCTAGCTATTCAAAGAAGCACATGTTGTGTTACACTAAATAGCGCCGAAAACCGTGTGCGGGTCAGCGAAAGGTAATCAAGTACTCTGGGTAGCACTGTGAGTCATAGAACAAAACAAAGATTTTCGGGTTGGGGATTTGATCCACCACGCTATCATAGATGTCAGTTGGATCATTTGGATTCTTTGCTGGAGGCGTGAGGAAATGTCGTTTTCCTTGCGTATACTCACCAACCAGGACTCGACTATAATACATGTACCGCAGACCACTCGCGTCGGCTGGTGAATAGGTTGACCGAGCTGAATAGGAGGCATCTTCAGCAAAATACACGCCATTTCCATACACGGCTGCTGAAAGGTCGAGGAAAATTTTAAAATTCGCTTGTCACAGGGTTCGAAACCCAGCAGTTTTGTTTAGTAAGTGTATGCCTCATTGACTACCGAGTTATCGAGAGCTCAAGTGCTAAAGGAATTAAATGATAACAGTGGCCTATCCTGGTTGAGAAGACTTATGATGAATTCTGAGAATAAGTAAGTCAAACATGAAAAACAAAAACAAAAACAAAAACAAAAAAAATTGAATAATTTGATGTTTAACTGTGGCTTCCTTTTCATACAAATATCTACGCATGGAAAATATAGTGAATGAAGCGAGGTTGTAAAAACGAGGTTTCTTAATTAACAGCATAATGATACAGTTACACATTGTTGCATATTACCGTGTAGCATAAGGAAATTTGCGGGATCGAATACTATTTTGCGAATTAGGGCTCATAATTGGGCTCTTTTTGTTGCAATTCTTTCTTTCCTTTTTGTCTTTAAAATCGAAAATAAGTTACTCACCATTTCTGCCATGAAAGCTTCTGTTGAAACCTGTGTGATTTATTAATTTGCAGTTATTACCCGGAGTTCCGTGAAATAACCACTGCTCGTTGCTTCCCTTAGTCTCATCCATCTCCTGTTTTCGGATCATGTACGAGCCATAGAGAGCTGGATTTTGAACTCGTTCTATCTTTACAATTTGGTTGCCGGAACAGGTTTGCTGGAATCGGTCCTGAACTCTCTTGTACTGCTGCGAGTCTTTCTCAGGATCCAGCTCAACAAGGTGTACAGTCATTTCTACGCCCTGGGAGTCTTTTGGTTGTGGAATCCAGTAAGCAGGAAGCAGGACCCCTTGTGGAAGGAAAATGATTATGGTAAGTGTTAGTGTAATTCAAATAGTACCGGTAGAGTTTAATCCAAATTCGGTAGTAGTGTTATCTTTAGAGAGGGAAGGAAGAAATGCTTAATTCTGGTTAGCTCTTTTCTGGGGACTCCAAATATACGCTGTGTATTTTCTCTATGAAAAACATTATCGCAGCTTTTGAAGCTTAAGTGAAGAAGAATTTGAAAATACAGTCATTGAGGTCTTTAGCTTGAATCCCCTTAGGAAGTAAGAAAAACAATCCTCTTTGATAGCTGGTCAAGGGCAATATTTAATAGGCTTGAACAAAATGTTTTCTGGGTTAGCTTAATAGGAATATCTGTCATCTTGGGCAGCCCCTTAGTCAGGCGAAAATCCTAATCGTAACTGTTTTGTGAAGGCTCATTACCTTGTCGATTTCTTGGCTGAGGAATCCAATCTCTGTGGAGCTTTACGCCTAAACGTAAGACAATTGATGATATAGTGTGAATTCATGGTCAAAAACCAATTTGTTTTTCGATGCTCACAGAACCATTAATGACATAAAACACTATATAAACACTTTTGATATAATAAAGCATCCGAAATTTATGCAGGATTTAGTTTCAACGCATTCCCTACACTTTTCGCTTGCGCTCGTGTTCGTCCTCCATAATATGATGTAGGATCTTATGTATTTCCTCAACAATGTCAGCCCATGTATCACTACGCGTCTAACAGTTTTCTCCATGGATCTCGCAACATCATATATCGTCGTTCAAGGGTCTGCATCGAAAAATTGAGCGATTTCAGGTATCTCCACCACTATCTTTGTTGATTGGAGGATCAAGTAACCTGGTAGTTCCTCTAAGTCTTAAGATAAATAAAAGCCACTACTTAGCTTTCCAGCTTTAGTCCAAACAAAATGCAAAAAATACTACTTAGACTGTTCTTCTCCTAGTTTTGGGGAGGTCTTTGCTAGAGAGTGGTAAAAGCGCTGAACTTGCAACTCTAATACAAAATTGTTGTACAGAATCCTATTTGCGAAAGGTAAGAACATCGACGTCTTTGATATGGCCCCAAACAAGCTAAGAGTCACTGCTGGAGTCCTAAGATTCAAACAAAAACTCACTATTATATTATTTCTCCGACTCACCTTGAAATTTAGAACTCCCTTCAAAGACAATAGGCTTCGGAATTTTTTGAATTCGAAGTTTGAAGGGACTCCCTCGAATTGGTTCCTCTCGGACTTTGATTGAAACCCGAAATTCGCCAAAAGAATTTGGTGTATAGAAAACAGAATATCGACCGTCTTTCAATTCTTTCATAACAACTGGAATGTCTTTTATTCCCTTCCGTACAGACGTAATCTCAACGATGACTTTGTCAATTTCACTGTAAGTTGTCTGACCCGTTGAATCCTTTGTTATCACCGTAAAATTGGCTTCCTGTGATTGTATACCGCTTGTCAGGCCTTCACCAGTGACCACACTCATAGAAGGTTCTGTGTGAGTTATAAACAGCTTTCCAGTAGGTAAGTTTCGAGGGTGTGCACTTGGGGTGTATTTTACGTCTGGATATCTGAGCAGCGGTCTGACTTTATCTGAAGTCAATTCATCGAGTATTTGTTTCATGGTTATCATTTCCTCTATGTTACGGTTTTCAAGAATCGTTTTACCACGGATCGCAACGCTAGCCATAATCTCCAGTTTGCCAGTTAGCTTCGACAACTCCTGGGAAATAGTATTATCGTAAAGCGATCTCTCCCTCACCAGCTGCTCCGTCACGCTAGCTTCATGTTGGCGTATCAAATTTCTGCAGCTTTCCGCCGCCTTATGGAGCTCTTTCACTGCCTGCTCTATGTTAGTGTTAAATTTATCTCTCCTTTCCAACAAAGTAGCAATATCGCGCCTAAAGCGGGAAGTGATCGCTTCCAGAGATCTAAGTTTTTCTGTGATAATTACGCCCTGAATTTTCGCTCCATGTTCTATAGACACGATTTGGTGACTTTTCGGATCCCGATGCTCAACAATAACACAATCAGAGCATATGCAAATCTGGCATTGTTCGCAGTAATGTTCAAGTTTCTTTCTATGGAGCTCACATATGTTCTCTTCCTGTGATCTGATGTCTCGACGGTCACCGTTGCTTAAGTCACCGTGGGCTTCTAAGATAACTCCCAAATTCTTAAATCCAAGGTTGGTCGGTAAGCAGTCAATATTGTCGTTGAGACATTCGGTAATCACTCGACAGTTTGGGCAACTCAACCTTCCTCCACCGTGCCGTCGTAACCAGCCGTTAAGACAGGATTTGCAAAACGTGTGTTGACATTTGAGAATTTTCGGTTCATTGTTCTCGCTGAATTGTTCCTGGCACACCGGGCATTCTAGTTCCTTTTTGATCTCGTCCAACATGCTCTTTCCTCGGGCCATGGTTCCTAAAGAGTTGGAAGACACACATCACTGTACTGAGCATGACTGCAAGGAGGACTGAGCATGACTACTTTCTCGGAAAAGCGGAAGCTCCAAGCACATTGGAACCCAGGACCCTTCGGTCTGCAGGAATATTATTCTCAAAATGTTTAGTGCGGTACGAGGTACGGGATACAAATTGAGCTAAACGAAACAAATTGTGAAATCTACGGAGCCCGCAAAGGGCCCTGAAAATTATAATTATTTGACGAGTTATGTGACGAGTTATGTTACGAGTTATGTGACGAGTTACATGACCAGTTATTTGACGAGTTATGTGACGAGTAATGTGACAAGTTATGTGACGAGTAATGTGACAAGTTATGTGACAAGTTATGTGACAAGTTGTTTGACGAGTTATTAATTTTGATTACTGGCGTAATACACGTGCGCAAGTAAGTCCAAAGATGGCTACTGTCGTGCGTGGACCCGGCGGATAAACTGTTGAATGAGGTACGTTTACTTAACATTTGCTGGCAATGAATTCCACTGAAAGAAACACATGAAGATTTATCGGTTGTCGCGTTGAACTTTAAGTAGTAGAGTCGCCTGTTAACTACTGTCACAATCCTCAGAATACTCTGCCGCATTTTGAAGTTTAGCCCCGCATTTACTTGTGAAAAGTGTGTATAATTGATATGGCTCTTTGCTAAGAGCTCACCGAACAGTCCAGCAGCGTAATTTATTATTAAGACTGATCTTGTTGATTTGTTGATATTCTTTTGTCTCATACTTTGATAATGAGGAGTCATATTGGATTAATTAAAATCGGTTGCAGGTTTGAGAATTCATAACGAACATATTGCATTTATCAAAGTACTTCGCTTCAAGAGTTGAGGATGTACGGGTTAGTAGCGGTGTTATTCCTCAAATCTTTTACGCTGTGACTAACTGTCCGACAGCCGGGTACGGTCTCAAATAGACTAAATGCCTGGCAGTCAGAAATTTTCAAAGAATTTCCACCGAAAGGTTCTCTCAAACTTCTCAAGAATATTTAAAGCCAAACTGTTCCTTCGTCTTGATTTATTTTCAATGTTCAAGGGTGAACACACACTGATTGTAACATATTGTGTAATGACTGTGTAGTTAACTAGTGATCAAATAACGACAAGAAAAGAAAACAAATGACCAGTCACAAAAATGACTCTTCGCTTTTTTCCCTTAAGAATTCGCTGATTATTCTTCATTTGTATTAAAGACACATTGCACGTGTAGGAAACATTGACATTCTCTAACTCTAATTTGCTACGAGATCCTCATTCACTTGTTCTTATATAATATTTCCATCGTAAATATACTTATGGTTATATCATACAAAAATTTCGTGTACATGGTGTGAAGACTATGAAGGCTCGAAATTCAATTAAAAGAAAAAATTTGGTGAAGAATAATCCCCGATCTGTAAGATGATCATAGAAAACACTTGGTAAGTTGTATAATGACATGTAAGGGCATGTTATCACTTATTAGATGAGAACAACAGTCTTTCTTCTCACTCTGCATTTTGTGCCTAGTCAGCATTTTGCACCTTGTCTGCACTCAGCAATTTGTACTGGCCGAATTTAATGTGCTGTTTGTTTCTTTAAAAACTGTTGTGTGTTGGCCCCCTATGTAAGTAGGTTCCAGGATACTTTGCGTTAGACAGAAAAATAAAATGTGGCGGACTAGGCCACATGGTTTACAATACTCATTCTTGCTAAATACAGGTCAAAAACGATTTATGAATTATTTTTCAAAGTTAAGTGTATAGGTTTTATCAATTGTTTTAACAGATGTCTGTGATAGCAATAGCCCATGTGACTGATGAAGATTTACATGCATTGGGACTCAGAAAAAGGAGTGACCTTACATGTCTACAAAGATTTTGTATGGAAAAAGTTCAGGAGTCAGAAAACAAGGAGAGGCTGAATGAAAAGAAGGATCTCCTTGAAAAGATTTTGGAGAAAAACAAATTGAAGAGAAGATTTGAAAACCTTCAGTAGTTTGTTGTAAACACAAGAGAAATAAAGGAAAAGCTCCAGAATTTAGTGGTACAAAAAGAGTTCAACTAGGGTGGCTAGTTTGTCAGATTACAGTGACAAACAGAAGAGGTATGTGGCTGTCAGACAAAATAAGGGTGGTGGTACCAGAGACATTGTTCTGTCAATTGATGCAACAGCTGACAGTATCATTGGAACTGGAAAAGAATTGTTCTTCCTTGGTGCTTTAAGCTCATTTGGCATTATAGACACAATGGAATTTTATTGGCCAGCTACAAAGAGGACACTGTTTCCAATGTGGTTGTTGGTGGTTCAGTTTTAACCTCTAGTTTACAAAGGTATCTGAATTCTACTATACTCCCCAGAGCAAGGCTGTATTTAGCATTAAAAGTGAAGCCGTGTGAATCTGAGGGAGGTGGTGATGACAGTCTACTTTAGCCAATGTTAGATCTCACAACCACCAGAAAGCATTACCCTGAAGAAGACACAACATTTGAGAAATCCACTTTGAAAGTGTCAGCAAGTGAATCTACTCCAGGCTTGGATGATGATGATATTGATTTTAAGGGCTTTTGTCCTGCACAGGAAATCAATGAAGACATGCCTCCACTACTTGATTTGCTGCCACCAGTGGAAAGCTCTCCCTCAGAACAACTACTGTCTGATGACTTGATAATGTAAGTATAAATAAACAGCAAAGTTTTTACATCTATTTGTTGAACAAATTTCCATGTTACATTTTTTAACCCTTTATCCTTAAAGGCAAAAAGCATTTTATTCCAAATCTGTGAATGCTTACCATGAATACCTGTGCATGACACACCATTTGACAGCTTTTGATTAGTACGTATATTTCAAACATCAATAGGCACTCTTAGTACTTTCAGGGTTTTAACCCATTATGGGTTGAGTTTTAACAAGATCATTTCATAGTAGTAAACTTATGCAATGTAAAGGCTTTCGAGGACTCTGTCCCTATGATGAGCTTTACTATTATTTGGTGTATTCAGTATTGTTTTCTGTCTTGCTAGCCATTCAATCTGTTTTAGCCCAGTTGCTTGGCAAAGCAGTGGTTCTAACAATAATCATTGGAAATTTCATCTCTGTAACTTTAGCATCACATGTACAAAATAATAGAGAAACATGTTTCATACATTTAAACAAGGCCACTCAGATCAATGAATGGGATGGTATCATTAATTAAAAAAATATATAATTATATATATCTGACCAAAACAAATTTTGGCAGTTATGTTAAGGTGTTTGTACTGATGCCTTCAATGTTAATGATTTTGCAAATAAAGCAAGTTACATATCAAACTTAAATAAACTATTCTTTTGGTAGAGAGGCCTGCAGTTCTGGATAGAGGTTTTCTGTAAGTATTACTCTTTGAAATTAGGGTATGTCATGTGCACTTATCGCAGCAGTGAGAAGACTTTATGAAGAGTCATAGACTTCAGTATTTTTTCTCATACAACCTGTTTTGTTGTAGTTGTTTTTTTGTTTTTGTTTTGTTTTGTTTTGTTCTTTTTTGTTTTGTTTTTTTCACTGGTCACCATCCTGTTTGCTGATATTTTTATTTGGTTGTAGGGTCCTAGGATGCAGTACCGACAGCTGAACCTTCCAGTCTTGCTGGAATCACAATGATTGTCAAGAGAATTTTTTGTAAGAACCCTATTTTGGATAATGTATCACTTATTTGATAGTCACTTACATGACCTGATGCTTCATTCTACAGACAATGTTTTGTCTACAGAGGGCATACTGTCTGACAATAATTTCAAAAGAAGGTCTATGTGTATGGTTACTCTTATAATATTGGGGGTTATGAATAATTCCATTAATAGTCCTTTGGAGTAAAACTACTTTGTAAATTGTGGAAACTGAACCCCAGTATACTATTATTTGTACAAGCACTTTTATTGAATATCTGTCTACATAAAAGTGGTATTACTGGTATTTTATCTTTTTGTATCTTTCATAGGTTGAGGTAGTAAATCAGGAGTTGGATGGCCAGACTGACCACTCAGAGAACACCTTGTATCAACACTTTTTTTCTGCTACAAACACATTAATTTATTCAATCACATTATTGATGGCTTGCTTGTACTGTCCTATCAGCAGACAAGCATTTCTGGTTAACCACCTGACAACTTTTGTATACTTAAAAATGTACAACAAATTGAATAGAGGATGGTTTTTCATTTTGTATGAAAATAGTGCACATTCAGGTGTGAGAAAAAGTGCTAGTGGATACATAAACTGTAGGCGAGTACATTCAGTAGATGTTTCTTGTTACCTCAAAAGTGCAATTTTTTTCTAGGTGGAAATCCATTTTCTGTTTGGTTTGGAATATTGCATACATGTATACATGTATGTACATGTATGTTTTATCAATTACTGCAATTGATAACAATGGTAGCCTATCTGTCACAAATGTCCTGTTTTTATTGTACCAGCTAAACTGCTATCTATATCAATGCTGAAATGCTGTTGGGCAAACTTTAAGACCTCTACTGGCTATTATTTTTTTCAGCTGTCGCAAACTGAGTTCCTGGTCATGCAGTAAGAGAGGGCATGAGGTAAATCTGCGTTGTTGTATCCAAGGTTGAAGTACTACTCAATGACTTCATCACGAAAGTTCAAGTCCAAACGTGCCGCCATTTTTGCCCCGTCCACCACTACAATAACACGCAGGCTCTTTGCTTAAAAAAACTCGTCACGTATTTCGTCACACAACTCGTCAAATAACTTGTCAATTAACTTGTCAAATAACTCGTCAAATAATTGAGCATTAGAAATAAATTTACCTTGGGCTTGGACGATTAATTTAAGAACTCTTTGTGCTAATCATTGTACAGTCCCCTCGATAGTTTTTTTTTTTAACTAAGTGATGGAAACATCCAGCCTTTTTACACTCTGATCTCCCAGAATGTCGCGAAACATTCGGGTCTTGTTGGTAAATTTACATTCGGTAAATTCGAAAATAATCATCGAAGGGCGCATGTTTTTCCATATGGCTTTTGTAGAAGAGAAATTATATAAGCCCACTGTATCTTTGTTTTTGCTTTACGTCTAGAAGACATATCAAAACGGCCCAAAAACTCGCCTCTTCTACATAATGCCAGTATGAGAAACAGCCCTTCGTCTACTTATGGACGTAATTTTGTGAAAGGGAAAAAGCCCTTTTGCTCTTTAACCAATGGTTATATTAACTTGATTGTAAGGGAAACCTTTAGAAAATTTTGAGAGATTGTATGGAGTGTAAGTCATATAAAATCATGATTTTCTGGAAATGTCGCATATTGCCTCAGTCTTCCACGGGCTCCGGTGAGACCTTTTCAAACTCCCTCGAGTAGGAGTTGATATCTCTTGTCAACGGATCATTCACATCACCCTTTTCCGCTTTGATGGGTTAGATGTCTTTGGGCAAGCTGCCAGAAGTATATCTTTTAGTGACTAATGCATATGCACGTAGTCGCTATTGCGATTAGGCCAGTTTCCGAAAGTTAGTAGAAAATAATGGAATGCGCGACAGTGCCATTTATCCATTGTCGAACCAAACGAACCACAAGATACATGCTCCTTCAAAACTTTCCCTGTATTTTGTAGCAGGTAATTTAGTGTTAACAACTGGGTTGAAAACGTTAATTAGCCACCGTAAAGGGTAAAAAAGCTGACGTTTCGAGCGTAAGCCCTTCGTCAGAGCGAATGAATCGGTGGCTAGTTTACGTTTTCAACCCAGTTGTTAACACTAAATTACCTGCTATACTCTCCCACCGACGCAGCACCACAGTTTCTTTAGAAACTTACCCCTTTATTCACCTGTATTTTGTAGTTGCTCTTATCTTAAAGACAGGGAGCCATTCAGAGTTCCTGTTAAGAAGTGATATAAACGAAAAAACGTAGAAAACAAGAAAACGTTAAAAAAAATAGGATTCTTAGTAAGTCACTGACAAGGAGAATTGTTTGATAATCAGGATCTTCTCTAGTTGGTGATCATTTCCGTTATTCTCATGACCCCTACATGGATACGAGAGGAAATACGAACCTTACATACCACAATTTTGGAGAGAAAGTCAAATGAATTTATTAAGGACCCATTACTACAATTCCTCCCTTCGTGCAAAGAGAGCCAGATGGATATTCAATTTTACCTTGACGTGCTATGTGTATTGTCTCTTACATCTCAAAAGCTCAAAAAGGCATTAGTGAGATTTTGCAAGCTGCTTGTGATGAAGCCTGAAAATGTAATACTATTATTAAGTAAAAAGCTAGAAGTATAGGTGATAAATTTCTAAACAATGTAAAGATTAGCTCACTAGAAGCTGTTTACATTGTATTGGAATTACCAATGAGGAAGTCATCTCATCAAGTGGTATTTGTCAATACCTCACCTCATATAGGCCGAGTTGGGGTGTAGGGGGCTCTGGATAGAGGTAGTACCTTTGTCGTCTGGCAGCTGCATCCTACTTGGTAGGGTGGACGGGCACACTGGTCCTCATCCATCTCCTAAATCTCTCACGTGCTGGCTCCAAGCGCCACACCCCGGCACACCGCCTCAGCTGGCGGGCTAAACCACGTGAGGGGGTGATGTTTACACTGCATCACTACTAGGCGGAGGAGCTGCTCCAGGCAGCCAACGGCTAGAGGGCGGAGGAGATCTGAAGATCCAACGGCCATGTGTAGGGGAGTAAACCCTTCAAATCAGGAGTGGAGCCCCGAAGGCGGACCAGCGTGCAGTGCTCACTGACTCCGGCAGCTCCTGCAGCCAACCTGGTGCCAAACGTACTGCTCTGCATTCCTTTGGACTACACCGGCGAGGCCGAGAGGGGGGTCCTGTCGACTGGGCAACCCAGGATCTCCACACACTCCGCCCAGGCTTGCGCCCTGACTGACCATGGGCGCAACTCCATTGTCTCCCGAGACAGAAGGACGCCAACAACAATAGGCCGAGTTAAACTTTTGAAATGTTTGAATGATATTAAGGAAATGGAAAGTGATTGTGAGGAAATATATTCCAATGTATTATTGTATAGATTTACCAAACGTCTTGCCGAGCTAGAACACTTGACATTAACTGACTGGGCAGCGTGGGTATGACTTATCAGCTAAACTACACACAAATAAGTCAACTGAGTACAGGAACTTATTGACTCCACAGAGGACTTTCTTTTTCATTTGTCAATCGGTAAATTAACTACACCAAACTAGTAATATGCATTTTTTTTTTCAATCTCTATGTCCCTCCCTGTCTTCTTGCAGTTATTTTTAGGTACATACATGTATCTACTGTTCGACTTTCATCCTGAGTGACATTCCTTGTTCATTTACACAGTTCCTAAAGCTTCTAACACAAATCAGGTGTACCTCTCAACCCTCTCCTTGTCACAAGATCAATTTCGCGTTTGCATCAAATAAAACTTTCTCTGGTTACTTATTAGTATTCGCGATGTTTGCATCGAGAACTGTATGGAACTAGTAACTGTTGTGAAAGAAGTAACAAGGGACATCTTTAATGTGATTTGACACTCTTAACAAGGAAGTGGGCTTACAAAATTCTTAAGGAATATTTCCTTTCAGGACCATGGCTACACTGAAAGCATACACCGCATCAAATGGCACAGACAGTGACAGACTGAATCCGACATACTCTACAATCAATCGATATCCGGTGGCTTCGCGAAAATGTTAAGCGGAATTTCTAAGACAATCTTATTCAGTTCAACACAGCTTGGTAATACTGTACCCATGTTTTAGAGATAATGTTTGTTTGTTTAAGATTTCTTAACATAATCATATACGTAACAAAGAAAGGTAATGAATGAATAAAACCACCGAGTATACAATTTTAGATCGACTGATTGATAAAAATGACTATTACAAAAGACACTCATAAGAAATTCTTATTACATTACCATCTACATAAACATCAAACCTTTTTTTACTCCAACTAACTCCTAGTAAAATTTTGTTTTTGTTGACCAGTTGGTCTAAGTCTGCAAACCGCTCAACTGTTGATGCTTTACTAACTACACTGAATACGGCAATAAAAGTTCATTTGTTTGGTACTTGTGTATTTATTCCCTAAAGTCTCGAGTTTAATATCAACTCCGTTAAACACAGTTCAATAATAAGCAATCAGATCCGATGCTTTAGTCAGCGGATTCCTTTGGCAGCCAACTCCTCTTTGACTCTCCTCAGGTAATCTGGGTCTGGATATCCAAACCTTCAAATAAGTTTAAAAATATTTTAAAGAAAATTTAAAAAGGGGGAGATGCGTCGCAATTTATTGCATAAACTATGCCATGGGTTGGTCAACTCTGTAACATTATATCCAACAAAAATAATCAAATCAAGAGAGGCGTCATTTGTAACTATCACTTAAAGGCTTATTTTTACAGTAAGTAAATTAGTTTTAACAACTGAGTTTAAAACGTAAATTGACCACCGTAGGGAAAGGCTAGCAACCGTCATATGCCGTTTAGAATTATTTGGGAGATTCAACTTTGACTCAACAAGATGGAACTTTCAAATGCGCTCGCTCATGATGCAAAACTTGTCCTTTCATTCACAACGTAGAGAAAATGTCCAGACCCAAGAGACCCATTAAGATCAATGATCACTTTACCTGCACCTTCTCCAATGTCATTTGCTGCATAACTTCTATTTATTGCAAAAAGTTATGCATTGGTGAAACAGAAACGACTAGGTGACCGATTCCGAGAACATCTTCACGACGTGGAAGGAAATGACAAGGACGCATCCAAACCAGTCACTAGACACTTCAATCTCCCTAATCATTCTAAAAAGCATATCGCAGTTTGCGGCCTTTCCCTACATCTAGGCAGTTCGGAAAGCCGCAAAACACCAGAAAAAAAATTCATTTGCGAAATCGGTACTCTTAATCCCCACGGAATCAACGAGCGCTTTTCATTCAACTAATTTATTCTTGTTCTCTCGTCACCATACTCCCACCAATAGCGTAGCTCCATTTTCATATAAACCCACACACAACCCACAATTCATCCAATCGCTCTGACGAAGGGCTAACGCTCGAAACGTCAGCCTTTTGACTCTTTACGGTAGCTAATTTACGTTTTCAACTCAGTTGTTAAATTACTTGCTATACTCTCCCACCGACGCAGCGCCACAGTTACTGAAGAAACTTACCCCTTTATTCATTTGTTCTTTAATTGCTGCGACCACTAACTCTTGCCTTAGAATTTTTCAATCCACAGATCTCACAGCAGCGGATCATGCCAAGCCTAAAGAAACTTACCAAGGAGCTACCCCAGAAAATCGTACGTTACATTTTTCCTTTCCCTCCCATTAGTAAAGATCCAGCATTCCGTTTAGACATTCTCATTTTCGCCAAAACTAGGTTTTGTAGCCACATCCATTTCATCGGGCGTTACCTTCATTCCAAAGTTATTCCTAAAGGTTTTCGCACCAATTTTCGTGCATCTTCTTTTGATCAACAAACAAATTTTACATTGCCGCCCTGAACTTACCAAAATCTTTCCAGCTGTTTTGGTACAATCTATTCATGCCAAAATTCAGGATGTCAATTCTAAACTTTTTAACCATTTGCATCAAATTAAGGCCCAAAAACTCGATCAAATCCGTCCTCAAATTACTAGCGACTCATCGCCTGAAAACCTCAAAAGTGTAGTTACCATTCCAGAAAATTTACCACTTTCCGATTCATTCATGGAAACTCAGTGGATAGGTGGTAATAAAGGAGCATCTTTGGGAAGTGTTCGTGTAAATGTCTGAAAAACTCACCGCAGCTACTACAATAATTAAGACATCAAAAACCTTTATGAAGATGAAAGAGTGTAGACAGGAAATTTTTCAAAATGAACGGGCAAAACAATCAACTTTCTTTTATGTAAATTCAAGTATCAATAGATTAGTAATTATGCTTTCCTTCTACTTACGCAAATGTTCCTCCACTCAAGCTAGTCTTGCGATGAATATCATTCCAAGTTATTTGATTTGGAAGGCCTGTAGTATTTGACGTACCAATGGTAAACATCAAGCGAGCATCAAAGGCTCTCCTCAGAAGCTGCAACACCTCTCTTCCTTCACGCGTGTCGGGAAGATATGCCTGGCGAGTCGTGCCTCCAAACCGCTGCCCGGGGTGAGGATGTTCCTTTCCTTGAATTCCTGACTGAAAGCTGTATTCAATGACTATCGTGTCGTGACCTTCAAAGCGAAAGATAAGTTTGTCAAAAAGCTTCTCTTATCTTGGAGAGCGAATTAAAAAATTTGAAAAGTTTAATTCCTCTTTTAGGCATTTCTAGATCGAACGGCAATATCTTGGGCAACATTAGCATAAATCAAGCTGTTGATACGGTTGTAACACTGAAATCGACTTTCTACCAAGCTTATATAGTCAATAAGCTATAAAAAGGCCTAACATTGGTTTCATTTAGTAAAATTTTTCACCTCACGAAACATGGTATCACCTTCAGATGGTCCTACCGGAGGACTCTTTCCGTTAAGTGCGTCCCCGCGTCTGTTACGTGTTATTGCATTGCTGAAAGACTTTGAGTAGGAATCGCCCTGTGAAGTCAAAGGGTAATTCACATCATTTGCCCCATTTTTTCCTTTCTTCTTCCTCCGTTTTGACCTTGGAGGTTTGGAAGCCGTTGGGTCAGCCGTCAGAGACTGATCTTTTTGGATTTGGAAGAACTCAATGAATTCTTTCTTGAACACTTTCACCGTCGGATCATCGATAATCACAAATCTAATATTGGTCAAAATCGCCTTTGATGGATCTCCTCGCGTGATATATTCTTTCACGGTTTCAAACATAACTTTTGCGCTGATCTCTTTCGGCATGCCAAAGAGTACTGACCTGATCGCTGGAAAGGCAATGGACTTGCACTTCTTGTTGCTTGCGGCTGCCGCGAGACTTTTCAAACAAGCCATTTTTAGAGCGCTCTTGCATTTCTCTTAATCTGATCTCTTCCACATAGGAACTACAGTATGGATGATTTTTTTACATGGTAGTTTGCCAGGCTCAGTTACGGCTGCTAAATTGTCACCCCGACTGACAGGGCTACCCTCCCCAACAGACCGGGCATCCCACCCAGGCGCGGGTTACCTCACCTACCTGAGGTCTCCCACCTTCATATAAACAGGCCCTGAAAGTCGAAGTCGTCAAAAATTTCATTGTAGAAAACCGAAATAAAAAACGCAACGAAAAAAGATGCAAGGTAACCTAAATGTGCTTTACAAATGGAAGAAATCTGTAAGTGGAACCAGCGGAAGTATTTCGGAAACAAAACGTTGGCGAATATGTGCCTGACTCTCTTTCGTACATGCAAGTTTTACGAAGTTTCGACCGTAAGGACAAAATACCAACAAACCAACGAAATTGAAAGAAACGCAGATTCAGAACCTGCTTCACGAGAAGCAACCTTTTGATGAAACACCATATGGTATTTTGTGCACAGTTTGGTTTAACAATGTCCTGTTCTTGGGTGGGCGTGCCCGCAATGAACATCATCGAATCAAGATTATAAATTCAAATAACCGCGAACACTTCAAATGTAAACCTAATAATCCCATATTTGTAGAAGTATGACATAAATAAATGTTGTATTTACCTAACATGTGTTCCAACTGATCATCACTTTCAAAGTTCTCGTCATCCTCATCTGTTCCATCTCTGCACCAGGCCCCTACCTTCTGTGCTGTCAGATCAATCAGATCCAGGTGTGTTAAGAATTCTTGATTGACCACACCCTTTAACCCTAAATTATAACCTTTTGCCATTGAGAGAATTTCGTTTTTGATCGATATGATTAGGGGGAGGCTTCTTCAGTGATTTCTTTGAGGCGTTGTTAGTTCAACATAAGGTTCCATTTCCTATTCGCCATGTTTTCTGGGCCTGCGTCTTAATAATGGGTAGTGAGGGGTCATTTTCTCGAGCTCTGTGTAGTTTAGCTCTATATAGTGATGCAGTTCTCTTAAAATTTTTGCATCTGCAGAGGTGTTTCACCATATTGCTAGTTGGGTAACCTCGTTTTCTTTAAGCTGTTATTGTAAATTGCTATATCTTCTTAATCAGTCCATAAGACCCTTGAGGGTCCCTCTTTCATAAAACCTCGAGGCGAATTGCCTATAGATGCCCTTAAGTATCTTCTATAATAATTCCATAGGTTTGTGGATAACTTTCTCCAGTGAACTGGAATAAGTTCTCCTTTAGGTTTATGCTGTAAAAAATTAAATTCATGGAGGGAAGCCATTCATTAACTATCATAAGGTCAAACATGATAGCAGCCCTTCGGGAGGTCAGTCATCGGCTAATATCTGGTCTATTAATCTATTCCAGTGATAAGTTGGTATTCATTGTAGGCAATTCATTTAGCTGAGTCACATCAAAATCTTGTCAGCTTGCTAAAAAAACTCTTTTTTAGCGTAGAAATATAAGTACACTGAAGCAACTTAATGCAGAACTTCTAAAAGAACTAAAATTTTAAGTCTTACCTCGAGAAGCGAGCGGATCAACCACGTCAATAGTATACCCTTTATTTGTCATTTTAGATATCTTTGGCTCAGCTTTCATTTCCGTTTTTATAGACGTCATCTCAGCTCTGTGGAACTGAAAAAAATGAGGATAGGTATTGGTTAAACACTCTCAAAGTCACGGTGGTATTGCAAATGAATCGTCCTTCAAGTTTTGGTTGATCCATTGTTGCTGTAACAATCCTTCATAATTGTTTTGACTTTACAGGTGTAACTGGTTTCTCCTGTTGTTTTAACTTTCTGGTGACCGTAATTACGATGAACGAACAAACAATTAGTGTGAATTTTCTGATTGCACTGCTTTAACCTTTAATATAAACCGTAATATTGATCAAAAAGTAGGTTAGTAAATTCTAGAAGAGATCTGGGGGAACTTTAGTGATTCAGAGAAAAAATAACCCCGGCAATACTTAATTTCTTCAACCTTTGTAGCCATTAGAGGCTGTAAGAATTAACCTTTGATCAAATATTTCAGACTCATTAAGTCAATAATTATATGAATACCGTTCTTTCCTTTTGAATCGCATAAAAAATTTCAGATTTCTGAAATCCTTCCACTTCTTGTGTACTATAGCGCATTCTTCGCACAGTAAACAGTTGCAATTGGAGCAGTAAAACCTCAGCGAGTTTTGTTCGTCGCATTTCCCGCAAAACGATGATTCTTCTTGGCCTGTGTATGCCTCCACAATTTCCACCATTTGTTTGTAAAACAGGTTCGACGGGAGACTGTCGATGTCACTGTTCGGGTACTCAGTTACTGTGCGGCAAGTCGGGCAACTTAAGGCTCCTGTGCGATGTTGTCAAAGCCATCCGTCCAAACATAATTTACAAAAGGTATGCAGGCATTTGAGAACTTTCGGTTACTTGTTTGGCAAACTGGGCATTCTATTTCCTTTTTCACGTCATCCAAAAAACTTTTAGCTCGGGCCATAACTTCTGTAGAGGCAAAATAGAAAGCGTAGACACCTTCACCGTGAAAGCCCTTACAACCCAAACGTAAATTGGTACAAAGCGGAAGTTTACTTGCGGTCGTGTGATAACAATTCTCCCCAGGACCTCCAATATTTCAAAACAAACGGTTGGGAAAGAATAAACTACGAACAAAGTAAGAAACATAACAAAATGTAACAAACAAAATACGACAAGGGAACACCTTAAACAAAGCATGTGTAAATGACAACCATAGTAGAATATAGAATGAGCAATGGAGAGCAGCTTCTCTTGTCGTGATAATGCTTTTAGGAGCCACTGACTGTAAATATATAGAATCCCTTGAAAGTTGCAAAATTTCGTTATTCACTTTATTTTTTCCTAAAGGACCTTTTGATGAACCTTTTTCAAATATTATATCAAAAAGTTCTAGCGCGCTTTGCTTTCTCCGTAAAATCGAAAAGTTCCAAATACGTCTAAATGGCCCCCTTAAATGACCCCCTCGTAAAACGATGAAAAATTGTGCAACTTCTGCATTTCGTACGCTACAACACGCTTCAATCGCGCTTTGAAATTTTGCGTGCCAGCAAATGACCCATTTATCTTTTTGAAAGGGTAAATTTCTTTTTCACTTTGTTGCGTTTTCAATGTGCATAGTGACCCTTTGAAATAATGTACTTTGTCTTTTTTGCAAAGGTCACCTATTTGGGCTCCTCTAAAGGCCTATATCATATATGTATGTTTACGACCCATAATATACATCATCATGTTCAAGCTTTTTCCTTGCAGTTTAATACCTTTAATTATCTATCTTGGCCCTCCATAAACGGCGCGTCCAGGTTGGAAAGAGTTCGGGCTATAATTTAAAAGAGTGCAAGGCTGAACGCTAAACAGTTGTCACGGGATATTTAAAGGCCTGAAGAAAACAAAAAGAGAAAAAAGGGCCGACATATATATTTAGAAATCATAATAAACGGCACTTAAAGCTTAATCCTGTAATTCCTCAAATGTTCTTTCTTAGCCCGCCAGAAGCAAAGCATCCAGACCATCCAGGTTGAAAAAAGTTCGGGCTATTCACAGGCGGCCCAAGCTGCAGCTGTAAGATGATCATCTTGCGCAATAACGGTCATGGCGGAATTATGAGAGTTTGTAATGGAATATTTACGACCACTTTAAGGAATATAAAAATACGTTAACTTCTCAATAAAAAATACCTCACTTTACTTCCACAGCGTATCGATTGTTATTTGACCGACTACTCTGATGAAAAGAACCCATTTTAGCGAGTTGTCCGTTTCGTGGTTTTCTACGTACATAAGAAGACCCAAGGCTGAACACTCCATTTCCGAACGCCCGATCCGAGCGAAAAATCCCAGCGCAAAATGACCAGGCGGCCACAAATCCAACGCAGAATCCAAGCACATATATTTTAGTTTTATTTCAATTCACTACAAACTGAATCTTCCCCGTGCAACCGACGCTAAGCCGTAGTTTAAAAATGTCCATTTTAGAGGTTTCTAGCTAACAGCCCGCGTACACGACCGTTGAAAACCAGCTTGGTAACCCTGCTACCCGTAGTGCTAAGACAATTTCCTCATACTTCAAAAATAAATAAGTTAATAGAACTAATAAGAGATAAAGAGGATAAAGCTGTTAACTGTGAAGTTGTTCTATTGTTACAAAATTAAAGGATTTTGATTCTTGTTAGTCTTTTTCCCTATTTGTCTTTTGTCACGTGTTGACATTTGTTCGTTTTATCGGGGTATATTATAGGTTTGGGCTCGTTCTAGCGAGGATTTCGTTATATCGAAGCTCGTTATATCGAGGTTCTGTCCTATACATTTTACTGTAACTTTGGCCGGGCTGAAGAGTACGGTTCGTTATACTGAGGACTGTGTTATAGAGAGGTTCCTTAAATCGAGGTTCTAAGGTACTTCTGAGTAGGTCAGGACGGTTCTAAACCACCTGGGATAAAGGCGCATGCAAATTGTAATAATTTCATCAGCCGCCTGTAAATCATCAATGGAGTGGTCCACTTTAAATATCAAGCTCAATTGGACGAGGGGTGGGGGGGGGGAGGGAGGGAGACCCCACCAGTCCGATATTAAAACTCCCCTGTGACAGAACTCATTACAGCTTACTAAAGGAAAGTGTTACACACATTTTATAAGCTCATATCCTTCTCCGTCCATCCCCCTTATTGTCACAGGGAAATTTCGAACCGAATTGAAAAAAAATTTCTCTGTTAAAGGAAAACTACCCGGCGCTATGACGAGGGATGTCTTTAAAGAGATCTCACACTCGGGGAGTGCAGCAACTAAGAGAAGATGGGGAGGAGGACAGTTTTCAGCAAATTTAAAAAATCTCGAGGGTACATGAATATATTCAGCACTTGCGATGTTTTGAATAAGAAATGATACACTGGCACACTTTGGAAAAAAAAAAGATCATGGCAAAAGTCTTCATGCTTCGGGCGAGAAGGCTGACCGAATACACGTCATCGGTTCAGATTTCATAGTTTGGTTTTCAACTGCTCTGATCTGTAAACTAAGGGGTTTTTTTTTAATCTTCAAATGAATTTCAAAATGCATATTAAAGTACTCAGTACATATTTATTTTAATCCCGTAAAGTCGACTATTCAAGTTATGCTTTCATGTCAAAAATACAGCGGCACAATCTCTGTTGTTAAAGGTTTTATAGGCGATGCCACGGATAAGTACGTGACCGATAAAAACAGAGGAATCCATTCACTGGATTGAGAGACATTCTCTTGAGATCGCTGTCCACCCTTTGAATATTCAGGTCCATTTAAATTTAACAACTCCGGCAGTATTATTTACTAATATAAAAATTATTCTTCAGTTCTCTAGGTGCCTGAGATTTTGTGCAAGAAATGGGAAATAACGAAGTGAAAACTTTAAGTAAAATTAGGAACCCAAACCATTAAAAAACGGTATCTTTGAAAAAACTAGCTGTTATGATTAAAAAAAAATAAAAGTAAACAGAAATTTATTTCTGAATTTCTAATTCCGTGAATGTGAAAACCGATACAGAAAAAGTCTTCTTCAATCTCACTTATTCGCTGGAGCTGGTCATCTATAATTGTTTCCATCCCCCAAAGACTTCATTTAACAGAAAGTATACACTATCGGTCAAATTATGGGGTCGAAACAAGAACCAGAATGACCAACATTAAGCTCACTGCCCTCACCTGGTTTGGATTGTTACTAAAGTTGGGATATAAGGCGTGATTCCTTATGCATTTTCATTTAGAGCTCAATGAAGAGAAAAAATCAACAATAACTAAAAAACAAAAGATACCCCTCTCGACAACTTACGGGAAAATTAACTAAGAAAGAAATAAGCCGATAAATTTAATGTTATATATCACTAAACAGTGTTTTAAACAGCCGTAAAGAGCATTGTCTGTTTCATGTAGCCTCTTACTTAACTCTCAAAGTGGCCACATTTTCAGCCAATCTGATACTCCGCCCCTCCATGTGTAGCTGCTTTCAGTTATACCACCTACCGGTATATACTCGTGTATTAGGGATGTTACTGTTTTAATGTTTTTTGTTTTTTATTATTCTCGTTTTTTTTTGTAACCTAACTACCTAATGTATAGATATCAAAGCCACATGAGAGGAGTCCTTTCTTCTCAAGTAGGTGATAATATCACAGTCTTTATGTTGCGCCAAAACGTATCTTCAACATTAGAGAGTCACTCACTCAGGATCAGCGAATTCCCTTGGCTGCCAAGTCTTCTTTAACACGTCGGAGATAATCTGGGTCCGGATAACCATACCTGTGGTGATAATTGAAAATATTTCAGAAGCGAATTGAGAAATATGTATTATTATAAAATACCAGCAAAGACGACGTGTGCGCCGAAGGCATTAAAACTGAAGAACATGGAGGCATCCAAACTTTCAAGCTCCTACGCAACGTCAGAGTCCAATGTATTCTCTTTTGGGTACATAAAATATTAACAAATCACTCACGCCTCAGGCCCTCCAGATATATTAGTCTTGTGGTGAATATCATTCCATGTGATCTGGTTTCGCCACCCAGAAGTTACTGATGTACCCACCGTGAACACCAATCGGGCATCAAAGGCTCTCTTTAGAAGAGCCAATACCTCTTTCCCTTCTCGGTTATCAGGAAGATATGCGGTACGACTGGTACCACTGTACATTTCGCCAGGGTGTGGATGCTCCTGGCCTTGAGTCCCATAAGGAAAACTGTAGGTTATGGTAATTGTTCCACAACCTGCAAAGAGAATTGCGCCATCCAAGATGGTCAAAATAGAGCAAAAATCCAATCACCAGAATAGGTACCGGATTCTTTTGCCTTTAGCACGCAGGTAAAACGATTCGCCCTAAATCCGTTTCGTTTTCACTGATAGAATCCAAAGTAAGATATTTGTATCCGTATACTTTAAAATCTAGAATGATTTGCACTACCAACGAAACTCCGAACGTTTTTTCCGCTTTTTAATTTCTCGTTTGTCCTTTTTCTCAAAGTCTTTTACCAAACCACATGGAGTGATCCACATCTCTTGACTGATACCAGCTCTCAAAAATCCTTCCCTTTATTTCAAGCGCAATTAAACCCTTCATTATTACCGTGGGTAATAAAAATTTTTACATCATCGGGTTGTTGGGGCATTTTAATCGGACGAGTGTCGAGCAGAAAAATCTGGTTAAAAACCACTTCGTCACGGAACCTTGCCGGATTTATCGGTGTCTTACACCAAAGCTCAGTGATATACCAAAACTAATATTAATATAATTATCCCAGACGAAAATAACCATTTTCAGGAACGAACGTAACCCAATCAAAACATCTACGGAAAAGCAAAAATTTATATAGAGGGGACCCAAAATCGTCCTGAGATCACGAAGGGAATCCCATACTTTTGTGTCTACTTCATAATTACCGCGATAGCCTGGAAGAGACCTTTGACTATGGTACACATGCATTTGCCCGTCAGGTTGATTTCCTTTCACAACACCTTGCGGTTCTTTACACACTGGACATCGGTTGTCATAAGTCAAAGCAGTCTCCACACAGTTGGTACAAAAGACATGCCCACACTTTAACTTTTTAGGATTTTGTAACGCATCCCTACAAATTACGCAGATGTCATCTTTACTTGCACCTCCAGAAGCAGAATCTAGATAACGAAAAAAAAGAACGTTGTGTGCAGTTATAGCATGGTGGTGTTTACAGTACAAATGAATAAAGGGGGTAAGTTTCTAAAGAAACTGTGGTGCTGCGTCGTTGGGAGAGTATAACAGGGTAATTTAGTTTTATCAAATGAGTTGATAACGTAAATTGGCTACGTAAAGAGTTTCAAAGCTGACGTTTCGAGTGTTAGCCCTTCGTCTATCGCTCTGACGAAGAGCAAATGCTGGAAACTTCAACTTTTAAACTCTTTACGGTGGCCAATTTCTGTTATCAACTCAGTTGATAATACTAAATTACCCTGTTTCACGGCACAAAGGCTGGTAGATGAACATCAATGACATAAATAACTCAAATAAATCATTACAAGGTATAAAATCTCAACTGGTAGAGGAGCTTTCGTGCAATTCGAATCTTGAGAAGGCTCATTTGGACATCAGCCCACGAACTCAAAAAGCTTCTCTTATCTTGAAGAGCGAATTAAAGAAATTGAAAAGTTAAATTCGCTAATACCTCTTTTAGGTATTTCTGGATCGAACAGCAATATCTTGGGCAACACTAGCATAAATCAATCTGTTGATACGGTTGTAACACTGAAATCGACATTCTACTACGCTTATACAGTCAATAAGCTATAAAAAAGGCCTAACAATGGTTTCATTAAGATAAAAGATTTCACCAGATCAAACATGGTATTACCTTGAGACGGTCCTTCTCGAGGACCCTTTCTGTTAGGTGCGTTCCCGTGTCTGTTACCTGTCACTGCATCGCTAAAAGACTTTGAAGAGGAATCGCTATGTGATGTCAAAGGGTCATTCACATCATTTGCCCCATTTTTTCCGTTCTTCTTCCCCCTTTTTGACCTTGGAGGTTTGGAGGCCGTTGGGCCAGCAGCCAGAGACTGATCTTTTTGGATTTGGAAGAACTCAATGAATTCTTTCTTGAACACTTTCACCGTCGGATCATCGATAATCACAAATCTAATATCGGTCAAAATCGCCTTTGATGGATCTCCTCGCGTGATATATTCTTGCACGGCTTCAAACATGACCTTTGCGCTTATCTCTTTCGGCATGCCAAAGAGTCCTGAGCTGATCGCTGGAAAGGCAATGGACTTGCACTTCTTGTTGCTTGCGGCTACCGCGAGACTTTTTAAACAAGCCATTTTTAGAGCTCTCTTGCATTTCTCTTCATCTGACCTTTTCCACATAGGACCTACCGCATGGATGATTTTTCTACATGGTAGTTTGCCAGGCCCAGTCACGGCTACTTCACCATCGTTCACGGGTCCATAGCGAGAGATGTAGTTATCCGACTCTTTCTGAATACCATTACCCCCTTTATCGATGATTGCCCCTGCTACTCCGGCACCATGACTGAGTCTGCTATTAGCTGCATTCACTATCACATCGACGTTTTGATCCGTGATGTCACCCTTAGTAACAGAAAGCTTAACTGAACCTACGAAACGCAGGAGTTGATTTTAAGTAGCAAGAATATTTCAAACCACTTCTACGTTTATGTAATGTAGAGCTTACGCCTCAGTGCTACTATCCTTGAAATATTTTGTAAAGTAGATGAAGGATTATAAACATGTTTCAAAATTGTTATTTTGAAACATATTTAAACAACCTTGCAAGGTTTAAGGTAATGTTTATCATGTAAAATTGCACACCTTCAGTACCAACATTTCAAGGAAACACACTTCTAGAGGTTAGCTTAAACTAATACTGAAATGCTAAGTTCGTCTGTCTTCTCAGAGAAAAGATCATGTGAGAAAAACGACTACAATTGTTTATATACACAATGATATGAACATATCATTATTCCACTAGTACGCTGTTGTAACGTGATATTAGGCCAACAGAACGCGCAAAATATGCGACGGTATATTACAAAAAAAAGCGAAGCGAAAGGAAAATATTACCGCACTAAACGATCTGAACCTTGACCTGTTTACGTCTTTAGAGCGTGACTTTTTAACAGAGGAACTTTTAACTGAAACATATTATGAAATGAACAGAACGAAACTTCGAAAACAGGAAAATTCTATTTTTAAAAATTACAGAGCAAACAGAAAGAACCAAACAGTATCTAAAAGTCGAAGACGTCAACAATTTCTGACAAACCATAAGGACAAAATAACAACAAACCACCGAAATTAAAAGTAAAGGAAGGTTCAGAGCCCGCGTAACAAGAGGCAACCTCGTAATGAAACACCATACGGTATTCTGTGCACAGTTTGGTTTAACAATGTCCTATTCTTGGCTGGCCGTGCACGCAACTAACGTCATCGAATCAAGATTATAAATTCAAATAACCGCGAACACTTCAAATGTAAACCTAATGATCCCATATTTGCAGAAGTATGACATACATCAATGTTGTATTTACCTAGAATGTGTTCCAACTGATCTTCATTTCCAAAGTTCTCGTCATCCTCATCTGTTCCATCCCTACACCAGGCCCCCGCTTCCTGTGCTGTCCGATCAATCAGATCCTCTTTCTGGAGGTCTGTTAGAAATTTCTCGACAAAAATTTCTTCACCATAGACTTTCCAGTGTTTCTTGTCTTTACAAACCTCAATTGATAAGGGTTGTGCCTTACCCACGGTCTGGATACGTTGCCTGACACGTACTGGTGACTGTTGGTCTCTGGGAGCAAATTCTACCAGCTTCATGCACTTATGAACATTTTGATAAAGAGTGATGAAAGCTTCGCATCCCTCGAAGAATTTTTCAGTGGAGCAGTGTTTAGTTGGTTCAACGGTAACTTTGTTGTCGGTGGCAAACCTGTGTACTTTTATTTCATAATCATATTCGATATCTTGCAATTCTTTGCCATGTGCGTTGACAAACAAACGGAAAAACTCTTCTGTCGTTTCGTACTGTTGAGGTTTCATATCTGCACATTCTTGGTCTTCAAAGTTAATACCGGTTCCTGAGCCCTTTCCAGGGCCTGTTTCTCCTGTTTCATCAGCCTCATTTGATGTGGCATCTGAAACTTTTGCAACCTTCTTTGTCTTGTGGAACCCATCAGGAAGTAACGATCTAAAATCTCTCTGAAAGTTTTCCAAGTACTGACTCAGCAAATCTCCACTTTTTTTTACCTGTTGGAACTTCCCTGAAAGTACGAAGCTTTCACTTGCATCGTGGAAGTCGATGTCGGTCTCTTCCTTGACTTTGTTGAGAGCAAGTTTTATTTCTTCACGGGTGTGGTTTCTTAACACTTCATCGTGGATCCAAGCCGTTACTCGTTGAAAGATCTACAAAAGAATAACATTCATTTATAGACGGAAAAATGTGATAGGTACTTAAAATCAAGAACTAAGAAATCGTAAATTCCGATATGTTTCTGACAAATTCACTGCAAGCGTCGTTCGCACTGATTTTATTAGAACTCTTACCACATTCTTAGCATTCAAACGTGGCTATCCTTTGTATTTCCCTGCCCTAGAAATTATTTTTTAACAAGTCTACATCTTGAGATTGAGGTTCATTGTTGGCGAAGGACAAGGGCGTTGAAATTGGTTACTATGACAGAAATAAGAATAATGGCTATTAGTCTCAACTTACCTCAGGGGCGTTTGCTGTTTCAATCTTCACCTTCTCGGACAACGAGTCAACCTTCAGCGGTACATTATCAGGACTGAGAACCTGCCTTTTTTTTACCACAGATTCAGCAACTGAAAAAAAAAATGAAAACAGAAGTTCAAAATGGGGGATCAATCATCTGCCAATATCTGGTCTCTTCATCCAGTGAAAAGTTGTTATTCATAGTAGGCAATTCATTTAGCTGGGTCACATCAAAAGCTTGACAGCTTGCTAAAAGGCTCTTAAGAATTAGAAAAGATTTATGAAAGATGCAAATAGACTGGTAGAATAATGATGAATCTGGGTCCAGTTGCTTGGCTTCAACCCTTGCTGGATGTCATGAAAAATTCCCCAGAAAAAAGCAGAATAATTATGTATTAACTAAAATTTTAAAGAAGATAATATTTTTAGTCATTTGCTCTATGTGAGCTCATCAGTCATTCCTGACTTACTCAATTATGGCAACTGGGTATCATTTTACAAGAAACTTTAGAGCTAGAGGAACAGCCATTAAATCATATAACTCTATTAAGTTATTGGGTGTAAATATTGATGATAATTTAAATTTTTCTGATCACATAAGTAACATCTGTAAAAACAGCAGTCAAAGGGTGCCAGTGTAATTAATAGATTAAGGAAGTTAATCCCAGCCAAGGCTAAATTACAACTATTTAAAGCTGCTATTCTGCCTTATTTAACTTACTGTAGTATTGTATGGAATTGTTGCAAAGCTAGTGATTCTAGAAAATTAGAGAGGGTACAAGAACGGGCCCTTAGAGCTGTTTATTGTGATAGCATATCATCATATAGCGACCTCCTTAAGAGGGCTAATTTACAAACCTTACGTAATAGGCGATTACATGACATAGCTGTGTTAATGTTTAAAGTTAAAAATGATCTGTGCCCTAACAATATCAAAAACCTGTTTGTTATTAATAATAACAAATATAATTTAAGAAACAATGATTTCATTATCCCTAGAGTTAGTACTACGCGCTATGGTAAGCACTCTCTTAGTTACTTAGGTCCAGTAATCTGGTCTAAGTTAGATAGAAAAATAAGAGCACTAAGAATGCTGCAAGAATTTAAAAACGCTTTACATAAAGTAGATATACAAAGTTTAATCTCTTCGAATAATTGCAAGAACTGTATTTTATGTAAATCTTAAATATTTTAAATATTATCAAGATCATATTATTGTAATGATTATTATCTTATTATCTCATTATATTAAGGTTATTATCTTATTATACAGGGTAGGGTATTATAAACATGGGGTGTACTATTTCGGGGTAGGGTAGTTTTATATGGGAAGAGCTCTTTTATCATATTCCAATAAATTTTTAATGCATAGTTTTATATAGATTAGATTAGTTTAGTTTAGGTGTCCTTACTTAGTGGGAAACTGCTATCTTTTTTGACACGTAAATAAAGTTTTATTATTATATTATTATTATTATTATATTATTATATATTATATATATTATTATAATATTATTATTATTATTATTATATTATTATTATTATTATTATTATTATATTATATATTATAGCTTAAGAAAATGTTAATCAAATTGTCTTACATGATGCATGACTACACACTGAATATAACTGGCAGTCTTTCTCAAAATTCTCCCCCTTTATGTTTATGGATAAACAATATGTTCTAATACCAAACAATACTTACATTTATGTTTAAACTGTATTGCTCATTCACTTGTTCACTTAATCTGGACAACATGATTCTCAGATGTGACTGTTGGTATCTCAAACACATTACAGTGATGTTCTGATAGTAAGCATAGCTATTTTTCTCTCATAAAAATGCCAATTGTTAGATTTGACAAGAGTGGTGAGCCCTGAGGATTGCTTACAGAAAATTGGTTCTGCAGGTTTTTTTTTTTTTTTTTGAGCCTGGTCAGGCTTCTAAGGAGGCTGATTGAGACCTCTCTAGGTAAAACAATCTCACTAGGCAAAAAGTGCATGGAAACAGTACTGACAGATAATAGGAAAAGTTTGCCCTCCTAACTAAGCAAGCCTATATTCCCAACGCAATATAAAGTACCTTACAATCTTAACATTAACTCTGAATTAGCTAACACTCTGAATAACATCACCAGATTCATGATCATATCTCATAACTGAAAAACCTGGCACTCCCTATCTTTAATCTTATTTTGTTTTCATAACTTTTTGAAACCTGTGATGTATTGGGTCAGCAGTTGCCTTACATGCATGCCCATTGAAAGGCAGCCTGACTGGGAGAGCTGCCATGTTTTAATGAACATGTTTGTTTTATTGCTTTTTAAAATCTGGTTCAATCGGTTTCTTTTAAAACCATCATTGGTTCCTCGATATTTAACAAAACCATATTGATATCCTCACAAAATACTAATCAAGAGGGAGACAATGATATTAAGTATTGATTAAATACAAGAATAATCTTTCCCTTTTTTAAAAGCATAGTATCTTTACTACATGCAGTGAACATAGCACAACTCATAAAAATAACATGGTAACAAGGTTTATTGACAGGTTCCTTTACCTATCACAAGGGCTTTTTCCAATTTACAAGCCAATCAGCATACACAAGGTTAAACTCAACTTACTTTCAGACAAAAATAATTTTGGTAAAGGGAACATTTTTATATTATTAATTGCATGTCAGAAGTAGTGCAAAGCTTTTCCTGAAGCTAAGGTAATATGTAAAGTTGAGATCTCTGCATTTGCTACTCATAAAATGTTTCATTTAAACATGAAATTAATCATAATTGATAATAACCTGAACACTACATGTTGATCTGTGTGTGGATACAAACTTTCTTCTCATTAAGATAAATTTCTTACTCATTTGCACAGCTAGCTCACTTATGAGAGATGCACTGTATTATCAATAAAAACAGATAAAATTGGTATTCAACTACACAGCTCAGAAGTACATCCAACCCCAGTCTAGTATGTATGAAAAAGTGTGATGACATTCTTATGAAAACAACAATAAAATGTTCATCAAATAATTTACGATAGCCAATGCTTGATTAAAAGACTTAATAGTGCTTTTAATGCACTTGACACAACTTACATCGTACGCTAATCAGAGCAAGTCAAGTTACTGGAGCTTTGATAGTCAAATTATACTGCATAATGATTTGATAAGCAAACACAGCAATCTGATGCAAACTACAGTAACTACAATGAAATAAATCTTAAACATGCACAGATCACAAAAATTGAAGATATTCCCAGAACAACCATCAAGAAACAGGCAAAATGTCTCATATAAAATGCAATTCAGTCATCAGTTCACAGTTGAAGGGTGCAAATCCCTGTGGAAAACATCTTCAAATGGATATTTTAAATATGTCCGTAAGTGAAGCAGGACACTGATTTTCAGCAAGAGAATTGAATGATAATCTGTTACGTTCGGTCAGGGTATCATTCCACTCATAAGCATGCAAACAATGTTTTTAAATGTAATAGGATGAGTTTATGTAATGGAGAAAATCTCCAAAACTCCAATTGTGAAAGTGTGTGTCTATGCTTTTGGAAATGAGTAAATCTATGTTTTAAATGGGAGTTCAAAAACTAATCTATCAAAAGGGAGAGCTGAGCACCTAAAAGAGTTTCTACTGAGAGAGCTCCAACTTTATTACTCTGACCAGTATCTGCTAAATTCTTAGTGATGAAGGACATGAAAAGTTGAAAAGAATTTTAAAAAAGATGCATATAATAATGTTAAGTTAATCACTATGGAGGTGGACCTGTAAACGTAACAGCTACCAGTTGCAAGCTTTAGCGTTCAGTTGCGTGGAATGGTTTTAAATCTTTCATAATTATTATCTTTTGGAAATTTCGACAAATTTCTCTTTCTTGAACAAGATGCATTGTAATCATAACTCTTGATTCGATATGCCAGAATTTTCGTCCAATTCTAGATCGAACTTTCTTCAAACAGTGCAGGTACAATATAGTGTAAAACTTTGCTTATCGAAGCAGATTTAACAATCTTTCATTTCGAGCCTGCCAGCGATCAACCTGATGAAAGAGCATATCAAGCCCCTTGGTCATTTCTGAATTGAAAAAAGAAATACTTAAGACAAACTATTTGACGATAAGATCCCGTAAAAGCGAGGTCATTTCACGAGGTAAGTCTATTTAAAGGAAGGCTTCCTTAAAACAGAGAGTAAAGTGTTAATTGATCAAGGTTCTCTCGTGCTCATTGAGCCTATCCAAAAGAAAGCAACAAACTAAGTCACCGATGAACGATTTAAATATTACACATTCGCTTTCATAATACCTGATGGATCGTCGAAAATGATGACAGCGAATCTCTCTTCTGTAATATGAAGACATTCGATATCTCCGCCACCATTTTTACGTTTCTGGAAATGTATCACCAGCTCGCTCGCCGTTGTATTCGATGGGAAGCCAGTCACATATATCCCCCTCGATGCATTGTCTTTGTTTACGACAATATCGTCTTTTTCGAGATAGCACTTGCCGTTCTCCATTCTCAAAGCCTACCAAATTCTCTTCTGCGAAGCACCACACAACAAAATTTCAGACTGCTAACTTGAAAAGTGAAACTTCGTTAGGAAGCGGAAGTAGATATTCCGGGAATCCGCGCACCAAATTCCCGGAAAAATCCTTTTACTATCTTCATGAAGTACCTTGAAATTGACTCGATCCAAAGAAGCCTGGTTTTAGATGAGAAGTGCACCAAAAGGTTTATCTTTCACAAATTAGACGAGAGCGAAAAATTCAATAATCAGCAATTGTTTCAGAGAAAAGTTTGGTGTGCTTTAAATCATTTTGTCAGTGCTTTCTTCCGCGCAGGCTTTATGCCTCGGTTTCGTGACTCAGTACTAGTCCCACTCTGCCTATTTCCACGAAATGTGAACAAAACTAAACCCTCTGTTGCGTCTATAGGAACTTAACAGCCTATAGAGCATTATCGCGCAAGTCTTTGTTGCATTTACCACTATGGCAGAGATGAATCACCATCCAGAGTCAGTCAAATCCCAGCTAGGACATTTGAGCGTCGAAAAGTTGGCGAGAACTGTGGTAATATCGAACATACCGCGAGAAATTACAAAAGATGAAATTCATATATATTTCCAGAAAAGTAAACACGGCGGTGGAGAAGTTGATGATATTTGGATAGTAAAAGATGAGGAAGCGGTCATTGTCTTTGAAAACCCTGAAGGTAGTGTGAAATGTAGAATTTACTCATATGTTTAGTCTCTTATATGTCTTAGTTAGCGAAAAAGTGAAAACTAAGTGTGATCGCCGTCATATCACTTCCGGCTTCATTTCGTTTACTCCTTGTTTACTACAAACTAATGAAACTCGACTTGCGGAAATTTTACGTGAGGTTGACCGAGGAAAAATCCCCTCATAGACTTTTTGATCAAAATTCTTGTGCAGCTTTACGTTTTTTGTTGTTTCATCCGCTTGAATTCGCAAGAGTACAAAAACAGCTCCGCTGGCCTTTGGAACCTGAGGCAGTGTTTACCGATAGCGAAATTTACGTTATGAGGAGTAAATGAAAGGACTTTTGAATGTGTAGGTGGCGGGTTGTCACTTCTTAAAAAGAAAAAGAAAAGCATTTTGAGCTCATGAGAGAAATCTGGAACGAAAAAGAGACCGTAAGCATTGAGCTCACAAAGACTTATGGTTTCTAAGATTCAGACCTCAAACTTTTCAGCAGCTGAACTTAATTCCAATATGAAGTAGTTCAAAATAACCTGTTGACTGAGACGCCGACCCTTTCTAACCATTCCCATCAAAGGTCTAAGACTATTGTAGCACTGAAAGTCATTACGGTGTACGCAATGTGGTTAGGCTTATAAAAATTTCGGCGTCTGAATCAATGCCGGTTTGAAGCCAGTCTAACAAGTTTCCAGGTTAGCTAGGCGAGAAAATGGCTAACGGTCGTTCCAAATTCAAGTAGCAGTTTTTAAGTGTTTCAGACGCCGACCTTTGTCATTATTTTATTCAAGCTGTATTATAGGTTCGGCTCGTGAGAAGTTCGGTATTTAAACCTGTGATGTAACGGAGATAGCTTGCTAACACGTGTCGCTCGTGAGTGACACGAGCTACAATCTTTGTTTTTGCTTGCTTAACATACTAAGCAAGGTTATAAGCGAGCAAAACATCAAGTCTACTCTCATATTCAAAACTGTGCAAAATCGATGAACTCAGGATAAACTGCGTTGCTATACAAAATATCAAACCAAACTTTGTCTGAGTTTGACATTCTTCAGTTAACGATGGCAATAGTTCAGACCTGATATAGCTTAACAATAAAGCAGAAGGGAGTTTACATTTACGTTTTACAATAAGATGATTTTTTATCTGAAAAAACTATATATAACTTGTGCAGAAGAAAAAAGAAACATCGAAGATATCACCCTTCTGTGGTTTCCCTGCCGAATGATCAGTACTAATTATTATGACTAAGTTGAAATAGGTTATTGTGCATGCAATAGTTTTACAAATATTTCAAATCCATTCTTTCACTGGTTTCTCTTCTTAGATTAACTTTAGGACTGTGACAATGTATCCGTATCTTACGAGGAAATAAGACTGTCGTCGCTGTTTGTTTGTTTGTTTGTTTGTTTGTTTGTTTTTTTTGTCTTAGTGAAATAGGCAGGAGATAGAACCTGTATATTGGGGTATTTTGTTGTCTGTTTTGTTCTAAAAATTAAATTCAAGACAACGAAACATTATTATCATCTTTTCCTTCTTTGTTAGTCGCTGACAGTGTATTAAAGCGCTCTCACGTGCTTGGAGGCAAAAAGGTGGATCTCAGACCATACAATACCCAGGTAACGATTTAAAGATAGTCCGTAAAGAAACTAGGAAGGTAATTGATAAGATATATTTTTTTAACTAGTAAATTTCCATTGACTGAGACTAATTTTATACTACCAGAACCTTTGTCCTCTTCCTTCTGATCATTTCGTTTGAAGCGTTACACCAGACTAGAGAATACAGCAAATGATTCTTTAGGTTGATTACAACCTCTATCGACCTCTACACTGTCTTTAGGAAAAACTTATCTTGAACAAGATAAGCCAACGAAGGAGCCTGGGTAATGAGAAGAAGAAAGCTTTCTCTCAGTTTTTCCATTTGCTATTCGCTCTTTTTCTCTTTAAATATTTACTATCCCCTTTTGCTTCGCTTTGTGAATCGTTTGTGGTTCTTTCGTAGTTCAGTTGCAGAATTCAACTTGAAATGACGAAAATGCCCGAAAAAGGCCACAGCGATCACTTGATCAGTCTAACGTTTCATCCATAGTTTTAAGTGCTCTGTGTGGATCTAAACTGACCTATATTAGTGTAGTAATCTCTTGTAATTAAGTACAGACATCAATAATTATTGAACTGCAGCTGCATCAAGAGCACCTGAGGGCTCTGCCACGTAGCAATCAGCAGTGCTTGGTAAACACACTTTACCTTTTTATTATTGCTTTTGTCATTTTGTTTATCTCAATTGGACAAGCCTATTTCTGACAATTTAAAATGGGCACTGAAAAGAGTTTCTAAAGTTGATGTTTCGAGCGTTAGCCCTTCGTCATTCGCTCTGACAGCGCTAATGCTCGAAAAGTCAGCTATAGAAACTCTTTACGGTGGCTAGTTGACAAAATCAATCCATCTTGTCATACCACCCACCGACGCAGTACTATAGCTTCTTCTGAAACTTACTTCCCATATTTCTGACATTGACAGGTTTTCTCGCGCGTTGCCGCTTTTGTGAGTTTCGGCACGATGTCACCTCGGAAGTCAGAAAACCTGCTCGAAATGATGAAGGAAAAGGTTGACGTATCATGGCAATCCAAGGGTCATAATGGATTCGTTCTCTTGGGATCGATTAATCAACTAGAATTTGCTCATAGATATTTGCAAGAATTTTTTCTTCGGCGCCCATACCTGCTGTTTAAGGAAGAAAGAATGGTGCAAGGAGAAGATACCGTGAAGGCTCGACAAAATTCTGCAGAAAATTTTGAACAGGCCAAGAAAGACTCCCAGAAGATTTTTGAAGAGTGCACCTTTGAAGTTGAACCAAAGTTCATGAAATTATTCAAAAGGGTACACAAGGAAAAACTTGAACAAATAGAAAGGGAAAGCCACTTGGAGATAGTTTGGGCTGAAAATGAAGCTCGAGTTAAGATCAAACCTACACCTTTAACCGAAGAAACACGCTATCAAGAAGGATGCAACGCTTTCATTGATTTGTACCAAACCATTCATCAATCCATGAAGCGACAAGTGGTTGATATAGAAGACATCCACGATGATGAAAAAATCAAGGAGTCGATTGCATTCGTGGAGAGCAAACATCCCGTCGTCATTGAGAAAGTAGAAGGTCGGTTAATCGTTTACAGCGAGGAAATTCATCTAAAGAGCTCAGTAAAGGCTCTTAAAAAAATGCTTGGACTGTCAAAAATCAGGGGCGACAATCCAAGGCATGGTCAAAGGAACATACGTCATTCGTCTCACCATCATGAACAGCCATTACCTAAGATCCTTCAGCAGACTTTGACAAATAACGTTAGATTATCTTTATACCAGGGAGACATAACTGATGAGCAAGTCCATGCCATTGTCAACCCAGCTAACGCATGGCTTCAACATTCTCAAGGTGTAGGTGGGGCAATTGTGAAAAAAGGAGGGAGTCAAATAATACATGATTCTAAGTATGTTATGTCTCATCGTAATGTTCCGCTACAACCTGGTGAAGCTGTTTACACCCGGGGTGGGCAAATGGCTAGTCATTATATAATCCACACAGTTGGGCCAGACTGGTCAGCCTATGCAGATAAGAGCGTCGCTGTGATAGTTCTTCGAAAGGCATGCATAAACTGTCTCCGACTTGCTGTGCAACTTCAGCTTTCCTCTATAGCCCTTCCAGCCATCAGCTCAGGCAATTGTGGTATGCCAAAAGAAGTCTGTGCTGGGACAATCTTTCGAGCGATTGACGAGTTTAGCACAAGTATAGATGCAGAATGTAGCACTCTCCGTGACATACGTGTCGTTATCATCGATACAGAAACTACTGAGGTCTTCCGTAGGGAATTCATTAACCGTTACTACTCGGAACAAAAGTCGCAAAATCAAATGGCAACTCAGAGAGGTCCATCCAGTGAGGAAGGAGAGAGCCCATTTTCCACTAACCGAGGAAGAGGTGACCCAGGGATTGATGACGAGTTACCTAATGTAAAACGTAAGAGTACACGGGATAATTTTACTGGATCAATAGGAAGACAGCACGGAGATGACTCCCATCAACGGGTTGAAGAGCAGCACCGGCAAACTTTTGAGGAAAGCAACTTAAAAGCAGCCAAGTGGCCTTTGGCAGAGAGTGTTGAAGCCCAAAATGTCGGAAGCGGTATGAATGTCACTAGGCACAAGGACGAGGGTCGTGATACTAACGAACGATATGAGAAAACAGCAAGGAGTTCTGTAAAATCGGTGCCTGGTAGAGGAGTCCTTGCACCTAGCTTCTC